TATTTAACGCTGTTAATTATTAGTTTTCCTTCCCCGTTCATGAATTATTCTATCAGGACTCTGGTTGCGCTTTAGCCATTCCTGAACAATGCTTAGCTTCCTGCAAGTCCCGGTATCACATTTGCTGAGCTGAGATCACCCCCAACCGTGGCTCAGCAATTTGATTAGGCAAATTGGTAGATGAAGCTTGGCCTCCAAAACGTCATGCTGACTTCAGTCCACATTTCTTTTCTCTTGTCTACTGTTTAATCCATATACATGGGGGGGGGGTTTCTCCCTGAGGAAGGAGTGGGGTATTGAAATATGGAGCGATGGATTGGATGGCACCCACAATTCACAAAAGTCCCTGAGTGGTGGTGGCCCTATTTTGTGCCAGCAGAAGAAAACAAAGCATACCTATAGTTTGTGCTGTCCTGAGAGTTCTGACATTATTTATTATTATTTTTCTTTCTCCTCCTCTCTCCCCAAAAAGGAATTGCGATGGAAATACTTCATCCTGAGTTTTGACTAGTCCAGGATGATCAGCAGACTCATCAAGCGTTATCATCAAGATCTTTTCTGCTCCTATTCTCTTCTGTCTTACTTCTCCAGCATTAGAGAAGCAGATTAAATCTCAACTCTTTGCATGCATCAAAGAAGATAGAACAAAAATGTTTTGAAAAGCTGATCAAGGGTGACCTAGAAAACAAGCACAACAAGAATCAAGATAGAAAGAGTGGTGCCCAGGAAGCTCCTGGCTGCCCCACAACTGTCAGGAAGATGGCCTTGTGATTTTTTGACTGGCAAACTAATGAACAGAAATTGAGCCGTTTTGATAGAGTCAAATGAGAACTGGCTGCGGTTATTAAAAGGATGTTAATTATGGGGTTGGGTGTAGAGACAGTAGAAGTGGACAGACACGACTGCCTTGGGTAGCTGAAATCTTTGTCCAAATAGTGCTAAGTCACAGCAACTCAACGATTCTCCCTTTCCCATGGTCAAGGCCAGGTTTTTGGTTTTTGTTTGGAAGTACACACTTTCCTAGATTATGTATGTCAAGAGCTGGACTTGGAGCAATTTTAACTGCACAGATGAAGGAAAATTTGTCTATTTGCAAGGTTGAGAAAATAAGAAAATAAAGGATTCCTTCATCGGTTAATATTCTGTTGGCACACACATTCTTGTGGGGTCATTACTATTGACAATTACTTCATAGAGACCTCCGGACATAATTATTTGATTTCCCGTACAGATTTCCACACCCAGAGAAAAGTGGAGCAATGTTAACTTCTGGTTGTTCTAACTGCAGCTGACCTCCAACTGCGGAGACCCTCCTGGCTCCTTTCAGATTTGGGCATCAGTGTGGCCACCGTGAGAGTTGGGGTGGTTACAAGTTGTACCTCTTGGAAGGAAAATTATAACTGGGGTAGATGAGATTAAAAGAGTTACCTCTGGGTGCTGACAAGCAGCTTTTTATACCTAATGTAAACTTGGGAGCAGTAAAACTTACAGGAGTATGAGATAAGGATTTTGGTTATTTCTGTTTGCCGTTGTGGAACAAATCTAGCACGATATAAAAAGGAAACTGAGAAAATTTGGGATTTCTAGTACAGATCAGCTGCAGTCCCAGATAGGTTAGGTTTTGCAGGACGTGTGCCGAAAACAGGAGAAAATGGTGGCAAAGACTTGAGCTGCATTGTGGGTGTAGTGGACTTAACGCAAAGAACGAGAAATTACAGGCAGTCTGTTTCTGCATGTTGCTGGAGATGAGGCAACCAAAGTCTGACCAGGAGTCTGCAAACGTTGTTTGAGAAACGCGAAAATAACTGTGTATTGACTGAGAATATTACATTGTGAAAGGCCTGCAAAGGAACAAAAAGGAGATATTAACCATTCTATAACGGAATTAAAACTTGCAGCGCATTTTGGGGGAACTTTTTAAAAATGGTATCGTGTATGGAATGAAACCAGTGGTGGGTTGCCCCCGGTTCAGACCGGTTCGCAAGAACCGGTAGTAAAATCGGTGGGAGGCTCCGCCCACTGACCCGGAGGTCATCAAGAAGCTTCTGCGCATGCGCAGAAGAGCGCGCGCGTGGCCCTGTTGCGAACCGGTAGTAAAGGTAAGTAGAACCCATCCCCGAATGAATCCCCAAAGAGTTACCGAAAGATGATTAATGTTGGAAGATGCTGTTGATGTCTGTAGAGCTGAGGAGTAAGCTGTAACTCAGTGAAAAGGAAACTGAAATTCTGAGCAGTAAAACGTTAAACTCAACAAAAGCTACATCTTTGCAATCCCTTGGGATGCCAAAGGCCAGAGAATGGAAACACCTACCTAGAGTTTATCCTCCTGAAACAACCTGCCCGGCTGTTGAGGTACAGAAAAGCTCCTTCATTTTGCAAAGCTGTATAGAACTAATGGCAAACATCTTATGTGCTCTGAATGAAGAAGAACTTTTGACCAGAGTTTTTTTAACTAGAGGGAATAAAAGAAGAACGGGTTGTTTATTTAATTATAGATTGTTACAAAATTGAAATGTTAAGATTTACAGGGGCATAAGTAAATGCTGGGTCTTATTGAGCAGTTCCAGGGCGGGGGGAAATGTGAAATAAATTGCAGGTATAAGTTATGAGTTTGATATTAAAGTTCTAGTTGTGGATTTTAAAACAAGGACTACTTTAGGTTAAGCACAGTAATTCATTTAAATCTTGTATTGAGAGTTTTTACAAGAAGTAGAATTTTAAATTCACGTGTAGTACAGCATACGCATTTAAAAATTAATTTTTAGTTAGGATACCTAACAGGACGTTATTGAATTGAATTGAAATGAAATGAAATGAATCAAATTGAATTAACAAGTACTTCCTGTGCACCAAGAAATAGTCCAGCAATCATAAAAATGGAACAAGAACTGAATAGAATGGAACACAGGGGTTGTAATAAAAGTGGATGACTCTACTGAATGAGTAAACTGAGTACTAATTATGGAGAAACCAGGATGGAAACAAAGATAGGTTTCGGTTCCAGGAATTTAAATAAAGCTATTTTAAGAAAACACTATTACTAACTGTAGAAGAAGAATTCGTAGGAACACAGAGGTTTATGGTTTTCAATGCAAGTAGCTTTTTTTAAAAAATGCAGTTAGATTACAGGAGTTTGGAGATATGAATTTTTAAAATCCGATAAGTACAAATTTAAAAGTTTATTTGGTATTTCTTTTTTCCCCAGAAGTCTATAAAATGCCGCAGATTCTATATGATTTAGAAGCAGTGCTTTGTGACATTTAATGATGATGTTCTGGCACAGGTTAAGGATAAACAAGAACACAAAAATCAACAAGCTTTCAAAAAGTTGGAGAAAAAAATAAAATAAAATAAATGAAAATATATGCTTAGATTAAATGAGGTGAAGTATTTGGGGCATATGTTAATTGCAGTGCTGTGAAACCTGATAAAATGAAGATTGAAACTATGGTTAATGTACTGAGCGATATTTAAGTATGGCCAATTATTTAGCAAAACATCTTCCAGAAATGGAATTACAGTGGATGCCAATTGATGAAGATAAATTTAATAAATTAAGAGAGTTGTTATCAAAGGCACCCGTGTTACTATATAAGGTGAAAAACTGTGTCGTCGGTAGATGCCAGCGCATCTGATTTAGATGCAGTATTGCTACCAGGAAGATTTCCTCTGGCATCTCTCTAAAGCCATGGGTGAAGGACAACAAAATTATTCTCAGATAGAAAAAGAAATGCTAGCTATCATTTTTGGATCTACAAGAATTCTATTTCCAGAAAATAACTTCCACTAGAGACTTGATCGTAAATCTTTGCAAGCTATTTTTAAGGAACTGTTATACCCTTCATGTGTAGGAATCCAAACCTGGCTATTAATGTAGCGATCACAAGAAATGTTTAAATCTGGAAATAGCCAGTAATTGCATGTGGTTTGCTTGTCCGGAGGTCTTTTACAAAACAAAGATACCGCAGTGTACAGGATGCCTTCTTTATGACAGAAAAGTGGAAGAATTTAAAGATGCTACATTAAATGATAGACTGTTACAATTATTCAGAAGAATGAAATGAAAATCAAAATGAGCATGTCTCAAAAAGGAAAGACCTTCCAGAGAATGTAAAAAAATACTAGAATTAAAGAAAGAAGTTAAACATTTACTTTTCAAGAATGATACAGTGATCATACTTGAACAGCTAGCAGTAAGAATTTGAAAATAATATATAGAAGACCTTTAAAGGCTTTCTTTTGGCTAGGTGTGAATATTCCAAAGATAATGTACAAGGTATATCAGATTTTCAGAAAAATAAAGCATCAACAGAAATTAGTTCAGAAATTAGAAATTGGATTAGTTTCTGAGATCTTAGCAGAAGTTGGAAGTGACTATATTTGAATTTTAAAAACATTTTGGTTGTTTTTCTAAATTTTGTGAAGTTTGCGTAGAATTTTTGTTTAATCAAATAATAATTTTGCGTTATCTCTTTTCATAAATTGTGGAATCTCTGAAGATATTGTTTTACTTAGCTTTATTTATCTTGATGTTTTTGGATTTGCTTTTCTATTGTGTTTCTTTTAATAAGTTGTTTTTTAATTGTCAGCCGATCAGAGTTGTTTGGAAGTGGGGCAGCCTATAAATTAAATAAATTTTACATTATACAATTACATTGTATAATTTTGTACATTATACATTTTGTATAAATTTTACATTGTGTAGCCACAATGTAAAAAAGATGTGCAGAGAAGAGCAACAAAGATGATTAGGGGACCAGAGGCTAAAACATATGAAGAACGGATGCTGGAACTGGGTATGATTAGTTTTATGAAAAGAAGGATTAGGGGTGACAGGATAGCAGTGTTCCAATATCTCAGGGGCTGCCACAAAGAAGCGGGAGTCAAACTATTTTCCAAAGCACCTGAAGGCAGGACAAGAAGCAGCGGATGGAAACTAATCAAGGAGAGAAGCAATCTAGAACTAAGGGGAAATTTCCTGACAGCACAATTGATCAGTGGTACAACTTGCCTCCAGAAGTTGTGGTGCTCCATCACTAGAAGTTTATAAGAAGAGATTGGACAACCATTTGTCTGAAATGATGGAGGGTTTCCTGCCTGAGCAGAAGGTTGGACTATAAGACCTCGAAGGTCCTTTCCAACTCTGTTATTCTGTAAATAAAATCGAAGACAAAATAAAGTAATAAAATAAAAATAATTAAACAACAGATCATGGGCCACAATTTTGCTCATTGGAATTTGCAAATCATTATAACTTCATGGACTCTATTCCTAGGTTACATTACATCCAATCAAAAGAGATTATAAAAAGAGCTGTAGAAAGGATCTATCTAAACTTTACTGCCACCAGAGATGTTTTCAAGCCCATCTCTGGCATCAAGAAATAAGGACAGTGGCAGGGAAAGCTGTGGCAGCCCCAAAGGGGCCCACTCAACCTGGGCAAAGTCAACCTGAAGGAGGGATACAGAGCAGCCATCGCCATCGCCGCCTTCCTTTATTCCTAGGACTCTCGGTTCTATTCCACCAATGGAAGATACAAATTCCTCCCTCACCCCAGAAGGTATACACATACTCCAGGAAAGCAAACACTCCCCAAAGTCTGAAAGTCGTAAATGCATCTTGCAAACATGCCTTTGTCCTCAACATACTCACAGCAGATGTCCCCCCCTCCCCCATTGGTAATTTCCCCTTTCTGCCCAAACAGTTGCAAAATAAGGGTTCGATTGTTTTAAACAAACCCTTATGCACCTATGAGATAGAAGGTGAGACAAAACAAAGGAAACTCATACTGTGGACGAATGTCTTTCAAAAGAATCCATGAAGAAAGAAAAACTCTTGGAATAACCTCACAGGTAAGGAACTGCACAATCTGCGAGTCAATGGAGATGATGGCCAGGCATTTGCCAACATATTCTAGAGCTAACTTTTGCAAGACTACCCTAATAACTAAACTAGCTGCAATAATGAATTAAAAGAGACAGAGATTATCTCCCCCCTATCCATCCCTGGGGGTGAAGTATTTCAAGCATAAGAGAGAGGGGGAGGGAGGGAAGGTAGGAAAATCCCTGAAAACCATTCCCTCCCCCTTCAACAAACCCACGTAGCCCACCACACAAACTCTGTGTGCGCATCATGTGCTGAAAAGAGGAATAACGATTTGCAGAAATGTAAATCAAAGGTGGGGATGGAGTGAAAAATTGGTCATAATCAAGAGAATAACCAAACCCCAAAGATCGCCACACTCCTGTGTTGTTGTCATAGTCTTGAGTGTCTCCCCCTATTCTTCCTCTGGTCTGCAGGCATCAATTTACATAGTACAACCAGTAAACCAGGTTGAAGAATCCAAAAGTGATGGGGAAAATGATCCTTGACCATTTGTCAATGGTGCTGACATCTGCCAGGTCAGGAATTTTGAGCTTCAGCTTGGATGATCGTCGGCGGAGTCGGCAGTTGGCACGATTACGGGCTGCCGCATGATGGGTCAATGGGACGTGGCGTTCTAGCGGTGGGTGGTGTCCAAAACCATCTCGGGGTCCCAGCTGTTTGCGGAACTGGATTCCTGATCCTTCATAGGACATGACAGAGTTTCGTGATTCTCCTCCTGTTGTCATCATATCAGATGCTAATAATTCATTGTTCATTTCCAAAGAGCTGAGAAGAATGTTGCCATAAGGGTCCACCTGAAAAAAAGGGTCAGAGATATTGCACAGTATTAACATTTCATCTGTACAATGGATGATACCTGAACACAGGTGTTGATGTCATAAATGATACATTCATTTGAGCAGCTTTTTCACAGATTTGCATGGAAAGAATCAAGTGTGAAAGTACAGATAGTCCTCAGGTTACCACTGACAATTGAGACCAAATTTTCCATTGCTAAGTGATGCTGTCAGTTTTGGAAGCCTTATTAGGCCGGAAGCTTTCATGCTGCCACCTTCTCATGTGTGGGAAAGTAGGAGGGGGGATTTAGTAGAGGGGTGGTCTGTAGACATAATAGCTTTCTTCCTGTCGGTCAAGGTTAGGGCGATCCTGCATCTGGAGAAGGAGTGGTCGGGGTGATGTCTCGAGATGGGACGGATGGTAATTGGAGCATGTGGTCATCTGAGGAGTGAGGGGATGATTTGGGGGGTTTGATTTACTGAGGGAAAACCCGGACCTCTCAGATTCGGGTTTTCCCAGCTGTGCCAGTTTACCTATTCTAGTAAATAGAACTTTGGAAAATGCTTGCTTCAGAGTTTTACTTGGAGTTGGGGGGTTTCTGGAACGCTGACAGATGCCATCTGACCATGTCACTTAGCAATGGCAATTCCAGCAGTCCTGGTTACTGTTGTAATCCAAGGGCTCTGTGGGTCATTAAGAGAGGACCTCATGACTTCTACCTTCCTACTGCCTTCCTCGCTGTTTTTGCTCATAGGAAGCCAACAGGGAGCATCAAAAACCATGAATATGTGGCCATGAGGAATGTTTAATGACTTGCATTTCAAGGACTGGATGTGAATATTATTTATTCAGTGCTGTCATCTCTGAACCGTCGCTGAATGTATGGTTGTAATCTAAGAACTACCTGTAAAGCGTTTGCAGGAAGAGAAAGCAAACATTATGTATGAACAAGTAACCCAATAGAATAAATGAAAAATAGAGATATTTTTCCACACTTGGTGGAAGGACAAAATGAAAGAGACTCTGGATTAGAAAACCTGCATCTAAGAAAAGGATTGCTCCAAAAAGTGAGGAAGGTATAATCTTTATAAAGAGAAAAATAGAAGGTAGTAAAGAAAACCCCAAAGAGGAGCAGAATGAAGAATAAAAGTGATAAAAGCTTTAGGATGAAACTAAACTAAGGGAATGCTACAAGCCAAGGAGTATTTAAGAAATTTGTATAGGTATGTTTTTTCTCTATAAAGATAATGATTAATGGAAGATTGGAATGAATGATGAATTGTATAAATGTTTGTCAAAGGAAAATGTAACCTTTAAAATCTTCCTCTCTCTACACTTAACACTCACAAGATGCCACCTGTACTTTGCCTGGAATTCTGCAATGAGGAAGGCAACCAACCTGCTCTCTCACCCGCTTTTCCTCATAGCGGTGCTTCTCGTTCGTTGCCTTGTTGAGACGCTCGCTCTGTTTCTTCTGCTGCCGGGGGCCCCGGCCGAAGAAAATGTAGTTGACGAAGGCATATTCCAGGAGCGCCAGGAACACAAAGACAAAGCAGCCCATGAGATAGACGTCAATGGCTTTGACATAGGGGATTTTGGGCAGGGTTTCCCGAAGGTGCGTGTTGATGGTCGTCATGGTGAGGACTGTGGTGACCCCTGTGGAGGGAGAGTTCAGACACACATTTAGTGCTTTCAAACTGATTGTTGGGGAAAGATTTTCAGTGGAGCAAGGGCAGCTGCACAGCACCTTTTTAAAATACTTTTGGAGACAATTAAAAAAAAAAAAACCACAGGACACCAGGGAGGGATGATTGTGTGAAAAGCCTGTGCTAATTCTGCAAAAGCTGATTCCTGGCTGGAGCGCCTCTCCTCAGGGCCCCCGCAGCCTGCCCCTTTTGTGGTCGGATTCTGGATTAAGTACCGGTAATCACTGTAACAAGTCTCAGGTTGCTCTGTCATCTACTTGACAATACTGTACAAGATCCACAATACAAGTCTTGTGAGTTTGGGCATACATTGATACAGAGGTGCAGGGAGTTGAGTGGCATATTATTATTGTTGGTGGAACAGTTAGCCAGATGTTTAGACTGGGTTTGGCATTTTTATGGCATGCCCCTGAAGATTTGGCTCTTCACCTAAATCTTTGATGAGAAAGGATTGAAGTCTCCTCTTAAATTAGATTGTTTTCATTTGTTCCCACCTGGTTTGTCATCCTGCTATCTTTAACTTTGCTTTTGTTGCTCTTTGTGTTTTTAACACAATGTTAAAAAGAGCAATGTTGCTCTTTGTGTTTTAAAACACAATGTTTTAAAACATTCGTAAATTTCCCAGAATTGCTGTCAACTGGGCAGAATAATAATCAAAATAAGAATAATAAAATACAAAAACCTGCAAATAGAAATGGCAAAAGAAAAACCAAGACAGTACACAATAGCAATGGGTGCCTTGTGTACAATTGACTGGAGCATCGCTTGAAGCACCATGGGCATTGACAAAATCACTACCAGTCAATTGCAAAAGGCAGTTTTGCTCAGAAGAGCTTCCATCCTGAGATGAGACCTTTAGGACCATCAAACATCCACATCTGCCTATCCCAGCTCAGCAGATAGACAAAAATAACAAATCTAGTGCAAACATCTGGCTGACTGTGTGATGAACCAAAATATGAATAATAATCTGAACTGTTGAAGTTCAAATCACTTACAAGTTTAATTTCCAGGGTTCGTTCTTTTAAAAGGCAATTAAAAATATTAATATAACTGATATTTCACTTTTAAATGTTTTTTTTAAAAAAACATTTATCTTATCCAGATTCTTTTAATTCTTGTCCCAGTAATATTTTGACCAACTGTAGCCCCAGCCCTTATCCTTACCCAAATCAGACTTGCCCCGCATTTTACTTATCACAAAACTGAGTGATTGTGCAGATAACAAAATAACCCTGAAGATTGGTAGTCATACCTACAATGGAATTCAGCGGGTATACTAGATATAATTTTAAAAAATGGTAGGGTCATATTGTTTCCCATAATTAGTTGGGAGGGAGAAATATTGTTTATCATCATTTACTTAAATTAAATGGATGCCCGACTCCTGTAGAGGTAGATGGCTTATTAATGATAGCCAAGGCCCTGACTTCAAAGTTGAACAACATTTTCTTGTTTGCGTTAGCCTCTCAATTTACACAGAGAAAAGAAATAGATGTTGTAGAGCTTCTGAGAAAAGAGCATTATTGATATACTTACATCCCCAAGAAACAATCTGTGAAAAAAAACCCAGAAATTTCTTGGCTACCTTTGTAGCCCACCTACAGCTTACTGCTACAAACCTTTAGAAAACTTTCCCAATTTTTTGAAACATTCATGATTCATTCATTCTTCTTCTGTTGTAGCCAATTCAGTCTTAAATCAATGTCAATCTGAAGACCTACCTAGGGCAACCCGGGCTGCAGAGGCATCGTAATTAATCCAGAAAGAGACCCAGGAAAGAATCGTGATGAGAATGGAAGGCATGTATGTCTGAAGGATGAAATAACCGATGTTCCGTTTTATTCGAAAGCTGAGTGACAAGCGAAGATAGGAACCTACCAAATAAACAAGGGGAAAAAAACAGTATAATGAGAAGATCTTGGAATCATGTCAGTGGAAATTTCTAGTTTTTCTCAGCACAGAATTCAACATCAAAGTAATCATTATACGCTGTCCAATAGATGGTAAGTAAATCTAGATGAGAAATAAGCAGCCACAATATAAAATGACAATTGTAATCCAACTGTTTGTTTTCTGTTCTGCTTGAATAGAACAAAGATTAATCTTCCTATGTCCTTCCAGCCCTTTCTAGCAATGAAATTGTGCCAGTTGTGTAAATAGCAGCAACCATCTATTTCACAGCCATGTAAATTATAAAATCCTGCAATGCTCAGCCAAAGGTGGGGGGGGGGTGCAACCTGATCCCAAGAGGCCTCAGAACTCCCTGCAGAGACCAGTCATCTGGGGAATCGCTCTAAGCCCCATCAGAAGAGCAACTGACAACTAAAACTCTTTTTATCTGCTCCTTTCTAACCATCTCTCATCCTTTTTCATTACTCCCTACAACCAGCATATGTTTTGAGACAAAAGGAGTTGCATTTGTATTTATTAACCCTTAACCCTTTTCAAAATACTCCTTGCAATGAAACAATAAACCTTAGTTGTTTAATTTTTATTTTTGTCTATGCACTTTAATGATTAGTTTAAGTATGGATTTTAATTGATGGTATTGGTTGTGAATGACATTTATTGCAGTATTACAATAGTTTAATTGGGCAGCATAGTAACAGTAGTAATGACTAGTAAACAATGAAGCTAACTTGGCAAAGAAAGATACGCTTTGGGAGGGAAAGAAGGAGGCTCTGTGAAATAGGAAGGTTATGAAAATTGCTTCAGCTAAATAGATCTCTCAGTCTTCAAAGCAATTGTAGTATAGTCTAACCTAAAGGGACCCAAATGATTATCTAGTCAAGGTTGGTGACAAAATGAAGCTAGGGTTACTGTCTGCATTTGGGAAAGACAGCTGCAGCTGGGCAGAAATGCAGCTCACCCCACAGCTCTAAAGACAGCCTCAGTTTCTCCCAAACAGCAGCAAAAGTTAACAGCAGTAGCAATAGCACTTAGACTCATATACCGCTTCACAGTGCTTCACAGTCCTCTCTAAACAGTTTTACAGAGACAGCATATTGTCCCCAACAATCTGGGTCCTTATTTTACCCACCTCCCTCGGAAGGATGGAAGGCTGAGTCAACCTTGAGCCCTTCAGAATCAAACTGCTGGAATGAGCCATGAGTTAGCCTGCAATACTGCACTTTAGCCACTGCGCTACCAGAAACATGTGAGGAGATAGGCTCATTCATTGATTCATTTCCCCCCACCCCCACCTCACAGATTACTCATAAGCATCCACACTTGGTGGGCTAATTGAGCCACATCCAGATGCTTTTTGGAACTTGCTGACATCCACAGGTAGCCTCCCCCCATTTTTAGGGAATACAGCAGACAAAATCCAATCCTATACTATGAAGCAGGACCAACAGAAAGAGAAGCACATGCAACCAGAAATGGGGAGAAGAGTTAGGCACCTTATTACCTGCTCTGATGGAAAATGTCTGGCCAAGACCGATGGATTGTGTGCCATCAAGTCATGTTCTGCTCCTACATACCACATAATGTTCCCCCTGCTGATCTGCCCTTCCCTTGGTCGTCAGGACTTCCAAGGGTGAACTCAACGCCACTGTAACTGAGCCTGTTCCTCTTGCTGCTGGTCACCTCTTCCTCTCCTCAACTTTGAAGTCTACTCTAGGGAGCTAGGTCTTTGCCTTGTGTGCTTAACTAAATCTCTCAGTGTTTACATCAGGGCCTTGCTGCCCCAAGTAATTGTATGACACTGCACACCAGAACAGCTAGACACAAGAACAGTTTTTTCCAGAACGCCATCACTCTGCTAAACAAATAATTCCCTCAACACTGTCAAACTATTCACTAAGTCTGCACTACTATTAATCTTCTAATCGTTCCCACCACCCATCTCCTTCCACTTATGACTGTATGACTGTAATTTTGTTGCTTGTATCCTTACGATTTATATTGATATTGTTTCCTGATTGCTTATTTGTACCCTATGACTATCATTAAGTGTTGTACCTTATGATTCTTGATGAAAGTATCTTTTCTTTTATGTACACTGAGACCTTATGCACCAAGACTAATTCCTTGTGTGTCCAATCACACTTGGCCAATAAAAAATTCTATTCTATTCTAAGGATAATGGGGGCGGGGAAAAAAGAGGAATGAAATGAAGACATAGGGGGAAACAGACAAAATAACAGAAGGAAGGCCATGATGAAACGATGCTTAAAAATGATAAGATATTTATATGTTGTATTTTATGTGAATGTCATATATGTGTTATAATAAAATTACAATTTTTTTAAAAAAAATTTATTCTATTCTATTCTATTCTATTCTATTCTATTCTATTCTATTCTATTCTATTCTATTCTATGGGAAGGAAGGAAGAACTCACCTGTGGTAAAGTTCACTTCTCTGGTGACAAGCCTTTGCTCAATGATGGTGAACTGGGGCAGCTCGAGGACCTCCATCCCTGTCACAGCTGAATTATTCCCTTGCCAAAAGAACACGATGTCATCAACTGTGTAGCCATCTGGAGAAAAGAGGAGCGCAGAGAGAGTCAATGCAAAGCCTGCAGAGTATTTCTGAATAGTCAGAGGATGTGGGAACCACAGGCTCATAGGCCACAAGTTAGCATCATACTGGTGTACGCTGATTTATATTAGTGCTATTAGGATTTAGTAGCTGTCACAAACGTAAACATAAAGTCCTTCTGCAAAAAGAAAGCATTTTTCTCTCCTTGTGAAGAACCTGTTGCAGCTCTCATACTTTCCAGGGATGGCAACTGGGAAATCTTAGCCTTACTGGTTTGGGGAAGATATCTTTCCAAGTCACCTCACCCCCCCCAAACCAACACAGAGGGCAAACTCAGTCTGCTAAACTTGCTCCAGCCCTAGGAATTGCACCTTCCCCTTCCTAAATGAAGAGAAGAGCAGGGGGGAGAGAAAATAAGGGGTTTTCCCACTCAAATATCTCCAAGGATGAGAAAGGCCGGTAGAGATTCTCAGTCACTCACATCATGATTGTCCCAAAGGTGCTTTTTCAGGAGGCAACTAGACTTTTTTGTCTTTTCTTTTGAAAGAAAAAGCACCTTTGGGACAACCATGACCTGAATGACTGAGAATCTCTACAGGCTTTTAGCTGTACAATTTGGGATGAGCACCCTTTGAATGATGTGGGAGTAGGAATAGATTTCCAGAGGGGGGGGGAATTGCAGGCTATAGGAACCAGGAGCATCGCTCAGGTGATCCTGAGGACACAGATAAACCTCGACGTCCTTCAACGACCCCACCAAAAGAATGCAGATTACTAGCTGTCTGCAAGGAATATAAATCCTTCCATTCCACACTATCCTGTCAGAGCTGAAGAAGTTTCTTAGATGAGAATCGAAACGTCTTCAAAAGAAAACAAAAACAAAAAACAAGAAAGTCCAGTTGCCTCCTGAAAAAAGCACCTTTGGGACAAGGGTGAGAAAGGTTTGGGAACTCTGATGAATGACAAAAGAACATCTAACTACAGGAGTTCCTCCCCACTCCACCCCACACGGGTGTCTGTGGGTGTGTAAGGGGCTGCCTCTTGTGCCTTCCCATCATGCACGCTTACACCCCAACCTGTAGGATCGCTCATCCCAGTTAAAGCTGCCCTGGTTCTCTGGAATCTCAAGAGGAGTCTGGCTCCTTTCCCACCCCGCCTCTTGCCCGGCCTCGCCTGCATCGAAGCGCACAAGTCAGGGTCATCCCGGCTTCCAGACTGGCTGCACCCTTCTGCCCAATACTGGATTGCCCGGGGGGGAGGGGGGGCAGCTGTCAAGCACATTTTCACCAAGGACAGTGAGCCTCACTTTAAGGTGCAGCATCAGGTTCCTACGACTCCCGTTGCGGCCTCACTTGGCAGGCATAACATATGAATGTGGCTCTCCCAGGACGAGGGGGCCGAAAGGGGGAAGCCCTCACTCTCAGCATTACCCTCCTGAGCCCAGAGGGGGAAAGGGCTCCTTTTCCAGCTGGAGGCCCCTGTTGGCTGCGGTTGCAGAAGAGGAGCAGGGCAAAGGGCAAGTTCCTTGGCGGCAATGAACCTGGGCCCATGGGATGTGCAGGAGCCTCGTGCTATCTGCTCCGCTGAAGCTGCAGGCAGATCCCAGGCGGCTGAGCATGTCTGGCTGGAGGTGGGACCAGTCCGGACAGCCATAACCAGACCCCTTTGCCTGGATGGCAGCTAGCCAACACCTTCCCCTCTGGCAAACAGCAGAAGCCTCTCACCCAATTACAGGAGGTCATTAAAATGGGGAGGTGTTTCTGTGCCACCGGGCAAGTGTGCACTTTCTGCACTCTGAAGACAATCCAGCACCTTAGTTTTGCAATAACACCTCCACACACACTCAAAGGTGATTGGTTTTGAATCTGTGGGGGGAACCCCACCCCCCTTTAAAACATGTATTTGTAGAAAATTGACAGATGCCCACATCAGACCCCCACTTAGTCCTACTCAGTAGGAAAGGAGACAAAATAGCATTCTGCAAGCAAAGGAGGAAGAGACTTCCGCAGTGGCAGGGTAAGTGTCAAAGGCAGGCAGGCAAAGAAGGGTCTCCCTACCCACCCACCCTCAGCCCATGTTCCTCTTCAAACTCACTGGGGAAGCCCATTCCAGACCAAGCTGGTACTCACAGCTCTCAATTTCCAAAGTGCAATTTTGCTGATCAAGGGGGTATCTCCTTAAGTCCATCATGCAAGCAGCCGTGGTAGTGATTCTGGGCAGAGGGTGGAGGGGAGGTGGGGGGAGAAGGAAAGAAAGAAGGGAGAAAGAGAAAGTTAACATGGTGGGTTGCTGTTCCTATGACAACCAAAAAGAGAGTGTAGGGTAGGTGTGTACATGAGGTGGGGGATGATGAGAGGAAGAGACTGGCTGTGCTACACAGCATCAACAGCACAGTTTAAAGTAATTTGTGACTCACTGCAGCCATCCCAGCAGCTCTACCAAAACAAGCTAGGAGGGTCAGAAAGAAATTGTAAGAAGAAAATCAGTAAGTGAACAAGAGACATTCATGTTGGTTACCATGCAGGCAAAGCTCAGAAATAAATCTAGTTATATGTTGTTATTTTTTAAAATACAAACACCTACATCAGAAAGGATCAATTGATTTGAATCGAAACTAAGTTTTAAATGGCATATGAAAACCAAATCTAATCAAGCATTTTGATTAGCCAAACATGGTTTCTGTAAATGTACTGCAATCCAACCACAGTCTTAAATCCCTCAAATCATCCATCTTCAAATTACATAAACAAGTTATACAAGTGCATTTGACTACCACAAAAAAGGCAGCTGTAGACCCATAAATATCAAATAACCAGTTCAAGAGGCCACAAAAGTGATCCTTGCCAGAGCTTTGGAGGGCAACATGGAGTCAGAATGAGGCACTCTTGCGATGCCTTTGTGTCCTGCAAAACGGGTTGTGGCATGAATTTGATCTTAAAAAAGGAGCACAACCTCAGGAGAAGAGGGACCCTGAACAATGGAAAAGCAAAAATGTTGATACAAGTTGAGGACTACAAAGCGAGAAATTCCAGAAATCTGATTGGCTGGCAGAGCTGGGAAAGGCCATCATGCAGGAGGTAGAAGTTGAGGTCATCAGCTGATGGAGCCTTGGGGTTACTCTGGTGAGAGTCTCTTCTCAGGGCTGCCCTCAGCCTATGCAGTGAGCAAGTGAGAAGGCTTTTTGGACAGCACCACCTTCTTATGTTATTCTTCCCCTGTCTGCGATGGCTGTGCCATGATGCTGGGAACTGACTACTCTGGGAACTCTTGAGTGATTTATCTGGGGTAACCAAGAAGCTTTGGGCCCACCTGCTTCATTGTGGCAATGGAGATACCTTGGTAGGGTTCTAAAGAATCCCATTACTGATGCATCACAGTTTTATTTTCTTTTAGGAAAAAAAATGTCCTCCCTCCCTCCCTTTTATTTCTTGCCTTCATCCTTTCCAACCTGATTCTTGTAGTGACCATGAGATGGAGGTGGCTGGTTTACCTGGCTGAATGATGTTCCTTTGAAAATTGATCTGAAGAATTCCTTCTTGCCAGTATAGCTGGGCCTGTCAGGAAACTTTGGATCGTGTTGTTTTTGCCCCAGAGTTTAAAAACAGCTGTCATAGATTTCATAGAGAAAATTCCAATGAATTAGTGGGTGAGTGCAGAAGGGTGCGTATGTTCAATGAACAGATCAGTGATGAAGGCATATGATCTTGGGAACGATGCAGTGGGTCCTTCAGTATTATCATCATCACCGTGGCAGTTTTAAATTTCTATAAATTGCTGCCAGCTGAGGTCATGCATAGCTTTCTGTGGCTTTAATAGGCATTTTAACTCATTTTATCCAACAAAGCATTGGAGCAACTGCCTCCAGCCTGAACAGATGTCAACTAGGTAGAATCAGAGTTGTCCAAGCTAAATCCAGACAAAAGAAAGCTGGTACTGATAAAGATGGCTAACGATGAATAGTAGTTCAGAGTAATCCTTCTGTTGCATTCAAAGGTTCTCTAACACTTATTGATCTGATAAGTAGCACAAGAAGACTTCTGGAACTGGAGTCTTGGCTCAGTTGCATGAAGCCAGACAGAGAGGTACCTTCTTCAGAAGATTTTTTGCTTTTCTGGAAAGATAGCACTTTGTGCACTGATCCTGAATCTTTCCATTTTTATTACTGCCAGCACAGAAGACTTGGAAATTTCAACTCTGTAACTGTGGCCGATTCTGTCACTCCTGTCTGTGCCACATTTCCTTCACGTCACCTTTTGAGCAGGAGTCAGCTGGGGCTGAGATAGCAAACTGTGGCTGGGGAGGCATTTCAGAGTGAGTTTTTTCTTAGTCTCACTGCTTTGTTCTTCAATCAGCCACCACCCTGAAAACCACCAGGCTTTTCACATACCCTGTCAGTTTTTGTGGCTGTCTTGCGAGACCGCCCAGGTTAGCAGTACATTGTTGTGACCTAGGCCCAAGTAGTTATTACCAGACACAATCAATCCTAAACAAACATGTTTTATTAGAACAGCTGAGAATTACTTCATTCTCAGCTTAGTCCAAATTAAGTCCAAAAAAAAATTCTTCATAAACAGCCTTATCACCAACCTTTGTCTAGTTTGGCACCCTGCCAAAGGGTTTTCTTGGCAAACTTCAGAAGCAAGAGATGCTGACAAGAAACAAATGTAGCAACGTTGCTTTCCTACAAAGATCCCAAGAGCCATTGCTGCTCTTTTAAGCCTTCTGGGAGGGCCAATCATCTCCTGGCCTTACTCCCGAGTCATCCTTTTTGCTTTAGCTGCTCTTGCCTTCTGGCAGCTCTTTGCATGCGTGCATTAGGAACAGGCTCCTCCTGTTCCTCTGCCTCTCTGCTATCCGCCTCTGGAGGCTCCGGAGTCTGCGCATGCTCCCAGATGGCCCTGGCCCCAACTCTGCCTCCAACGCAGAGCCCTCGTCTGGGCCTTCCCCAGACTCCAGGACTCGCCCATTGTCCTCCCCAGCCTCCTCACTGTCCGACTCTGCTGCGAGCTCCGCAGGCTGCTGGCAGACCACAACAGCTTTTCTAGATAGCTAAATTGGTACAAGTTAAGATTGTCCTGAAGCCAAGGGAGTTTTGACCTTGTTTTTTTTTTTGAAAAAAAACAAGGAAGAGCCTCCTATGGGTTCTACTTGCAATCTTTTATTCCTGCATAGAAAAGGCAGCACAAGCAGCATTTCATAACAAGAAATGGGAACCAATAGAAGAGAATATTTGATGGTTGAACTGTGGGGGTCTTTGGTGCTCTCTGAACATGTTTGTTTTCTTGCAGATGTTTCATTATCCAACTAAGGAACATCATCAATGCAAAAGGAACTCTAATCTAATTGGCTCTGCTGGTTACAACCGTCCAAGAGAAGTTCCTACTCTTTTCAAGAACGAAAGTACCTGGAAGTTTATTCTGTAGCTCAGAGCCTTGCTCTGTCATTCATGTTGATCTGGACGTCGAGGAGCTGCTTTCATCCTTAGATGCTTGTGTTTCTAGTTGCAATGGCTGGAATCCCATGTTTCTTGCCTCAGCCAGAGGAACCAGCTCCCTCCCACATCTTGGGAGACAAAATCAGCATCCAAGTGCAGTTGAGTTAAATTAAAGCCCTCTGTGAAGTTTGTGTGGCTATGTCTGACTGGAGCTTCAGCTTGATTGTCAGGGCTCAGTTTCCCTCAAGCAGGATTCTCAGCAGCCCCTGGCAAATGTCTCCGAATGGGTGCAGTTCAGAGGCTGAGCTTAAGGCACTCCTCGAGCAACATGTCCTCTATTTAAAGGGAGTGTTTGCTTTTCCAGGAACATGGAGCGAGAAATAAGACAATGAGGTGACTGCAACCAGCAGAAGAGTGTAGATCAGGGGTCTGCAACCCGCAGCTCTGGAGCCGCATGTGGCTCTTTCATCGCTCTGCTGTGGCTCCCTGTTGCTGGTGGCCTCCACAATTGATAGGGCTTTCAATTAGGACAGGTAGAGGAAAAAGGATGCCGCACTAGAAGGAGATTCTATGGTGGGGGAATTGGACTGCCAGTCAGGAGAGGAAAAAGGATGCCGCGCTAGGAGGAGACTATGATGGGGGAACCGGACTTCTGGTCGGCTCCAGAATTGAATGGGGGCTTCCGGTTAGGACCTTTATGGCTCTTTGAGTGTTTAAGGTTGCCAACCCCTGGTGTAGACCATGAGAATGCAAAGGGAAAATCAGGAAGATGGAGACAGGGAGATAACCAGCAGTTATCTGACCTGATAAGTTTATCTCTCTGTAGTGGGAGCCTTGAGGGTGCCTCTGCTGCTGTCTCATGCCCTATAAATAGGTGCAAAGGGATGGGGAACGTAGGAAAAACATGCCCTCGGGTAAATCGGGATCATTTGCCAAAGTCTGGGGGTGGGTGAGGTCTGTTCAGCGCATGGCTGTCTAGTGGCTGGGAGTATTTCCTCCCGGGAGGGACTAAGCAAAGGCTAGCTGCAGTTCCCAGGGATGGTCTGGTTGCCAGCGGCAAGCGAGCAACTCCCTGAGGCAGCAGCTGGTCTTAGAGCATCTCTTCTAGGAAGGCTCAGCCCTCCACAGGAGTCACAAATTGGTTGGTGCTCTATGTCAGGGGTCTGCAACCTTAAAGAGCCATTTGGACCGGTTTCCCACAGAAAAGAAAACACCAGGAGCCACAAAACCTGGGTGGACGTGGCCAATCCAACCTCACTCACTTCCACCAGTCACATGACCCCCTAGCCATGCCTACCCAGGTGGTCATTAGAGCAGTTATTAAAAAACACTGGAAACCACAAAACCCTTTTGACATCTCTCTCCCTCCCTCCCTCTCCCCTCTCTCTCTCTGCCATGGCCGCTTCTCCATCCCCTGCCATTGCCCTTACCTTCTCAGGCCAGGCGAGGAGTGACTGGGGGGAGGGCGAGGGGGGGCAGCCAGTGGTGGGATCACCCGACGGAGCCACAGCAGAGGGCCCAAAGAACCACATGCGGCTTCAGAGCCACAAGTTGCTGACACCCACTCTATGTGGAGATGGAGGAAAAGAAGAACCTGGGCCTTCCTTGAATTCAAGAGAGCTCTTGGCTTTCTGAGAGTGACAGAGGAGTAACATTTAGAGAACCACCAATTCCTAACTTTTTACGGTTGGTGGATTACTCTTACTGTGGTGGATTCAGAGGGTTTTCACTTGAAGCAAGGTCTGGGGCAAGGTCTGGGGTCACGCGACCCTCCATATTGCAGGTTGGAGTCCTTACCCTCTGGGTCAGACAAAGCCAACAAGCAGCAAACAATAGGGAGATTCTTGTGTCTGTCCTGAATTAAGGGGAAATGGTTTAAAAATGTATACAATATTGTAAAAAAAATACTCAAGTGGGAGTGATAACAAACATAACTGCATTCAAAGGAAGGCAACACCATTAAATGTGTTTCCCTATTTAAATGCTCATCTTTTGGAAATTAAAGCAAAGCCTCCAGGTGAACATTGTCAGAAAAAAACGCCCTCTTCAAACTGCTGCTGCAAGCAAACTCTCCCTGCCCTGAATTTGGGGACTGTGGGGATTAAACCTTGACCTCCTGCTGCACGATATCCTTCCAGGCCTGCCTTGGGGGACACACTTGTGGGGCCACTTTCTTTTCTTTGAATGTAGTTCCTGGTTCCCTGATAATCCCATTCAATTCAGATCCTCTTCCTCTTTCTTAAAAGGGTGATGATGCCCATTATTGGACACAGAATACTTGAGGTGGGAGCTGACGAATGCAGAACAATGATCTTGCCTCAGGGATGAAATCCAGCAGGTTCTGACAGGTTCTGGAGAACCGGAAATTTTGAGCAGTTCAGAGAACCAGCAAATACCACCTCTGGCTGGCCCCAGAGTGGGATGGGAATGGAGATTTTGCAGTATCCTTCCCCTGGAGTGGGGAGGGAATGGGGATTTTGCAGTATCCTTCCCCAGGAGTGGGGAGGGAATGGGGATTTTGCAGTATCCTTTCCCTGGAGTGGGGAGGGAATGGGAATTTTGTAATATCCTTCCCCCAAGAGTGGGGAGGGAATGGGGATTTTGCAGTATCCTTTCCCTGGAGTGGGGAGGGAATGGGGATTTTGCAGTATCCTTCCCCTGAAGTGGGGTGGGAATGGGGATTTTGCAGTATCCTTCCCCTGCCACGCCCACCAAGCCATGCCCACCAAGCCACACCACACCCACCAAGCCATGCACACAGAACCGGTAGTAAAAAAAATTGGATTTCACAACTGTCTTGCCCAATAGGGGAGCTTTGTTTATATTTCACATTCCTTAACTGCCATCTTCCCTCAGATTGGGGTTCTGGGCAGTGTACAATTTAATTCATATAATTAAGCATTAAAATGAAATAATTTAAGATTTAAAAATATAAAACATTATAATATTACAAAATATGGAGAAAACCAAGATGGGGAGGGTAGGGGTGTGTGTCACTCTGGGGGGGTTTCCCATAGGGCCAACCAGACCCATGGTGGTAGTGGGCTTTGAGCCTGTGGGAAAGACCAAGAGGCTGGGGGCTTGCCTCACCTGTGGGGGGTAAGATGTTCCATAATGCAGAGGCGGTGACAGAAGTGCAAATTCTTTGACTGATGGGATCTGTAGCAGTGGTGGGTTGCCCCGATTCAGACCGGTTCACATGAACCGGTAGTAAAACCAGCAGGAGGCCCCGCCACCACCATGGATGTCATCATCGGCAATCTGCACATGCACAGAAGCTTCCCGTTGCGAACCGGTAGTAAAGATAAGTAGGACCCACCCCTGATCTGTAGCCTGCCTTCCCTGCCTGAACAAGTGGGAAGGGCTGATACAATGGGGTGAAGCCAGTTCCACAAGCAGCCTGGTTCAATGCCATGTAGAGCTTTATAGGTAATAATCAACATCTTGAATTAGATCTGGAAGCAAACTGGCACCCAGTGCACTTCATGGAGCAGAGGTGTTATACCTCTGGGCACCCAGTTATACTTTGGGCACCCAGTATGGTTCACACGGCTGCATTATACACCAGTATGAGCTTCCCTCTGAGGGTACCCTCATGTAGAGCACATTGCAGTAGTACAGTTGGAAAATGGCTTGAGCATACGTACCGAGCAGAGGTCCTCCCTGCCAGGGGTGGGTTGCCCCCGGTTCGCACCAGTTCTATAGAACCGGTAGTAAAACCGGCGGGAGGCTCCGCCCACCGACCCTGACATCATCAAAATGCTTCTGCGCATGCGAGCAAAGCGAGCGCGTGCGCGCGGCCCCGCTGCGAACTGGTAGTAAAGGTAAGTAAAACCTACCCCTGCTCCCTGCCCAGGAAGGGGGCATAACTGGCACAAGGCGCAAAGGGTCTCCTGGCCATGGCTTGCTCAGTTATAGACGACTCATCCAGGACCAAAGATGATAAAACCCCAGACACAGAGAGGCTCACCCACAGCCACTCTACCTGACTAGGGTTCAGTGGAAGTCTGTCGTTCCCCAGGCAGACCCCCACAGGCTCCGGGCACCACTGCCTCACTCGCTTCACTCAGAACGGAGATACATGGCTGCCTATCAGCCCCAAACAATAAGAGAATTTGACATTTTAGCAGCCACGTCGCTTGTTGCTGATTCATACGAAGTTTGTGATCCACTCTAGTTCTTTGATACTTTCCCTGCATCTCCTATACTGGCATAGAGCCATATATGCCCTCAAGCAGAGACGAAATGCTCCCGGTTCGGACCGAGCATCTCTCGATCCGGTAGCGATGGTGGCGGGTGGTTTGGAGAACCGGTAGCAAAAATCCCTGCACTCCCCCCCCCATGCCCAGCTGAGCTGCACGATCATCAGAGGCTTTTTTTTTTTTACTTTTAAAAGCATTTTTTCTACAACCTCTTCGGCCAAAAAAATGCTTTTAAAAGTAAAAAAAACAAGCCTCTGATGATCACGCGGCTCCACTGGGATTGTCAGAGGCTGAAGAGGTTGTAGAAAAAATGATTTTAAAAGTAAAAAAAAAAGAGTTGGCCACGCCCACCCAGTTACATTACCCCCACCACCAAGCCACGCCCACAGAACCAGTAGTAACAAATTTTACATTTCACCACTGCTCTTCCTAACAGCCTGCTGGGATGCATATCCCCTCCTCAAAAAATATGACGCTCAAATTGAAGGAGTTGATTACCTCTGCCTTTTCTTAGTTACCCTTGTATTTTTGTCATTTTCAGTGCTATACTATACTGTTTATTTCCTCCGTGGCTGAGTCAGATAGCTGTTTTATTCTCAGCTTTGCGTGATCAAATTTTAGTGCAGTTCAGACTCACTGATAACCATCCCCCACTATGTATTATCCCTAATGACTTGGCCACTTGTAACAAATATCTTCCTCTAGCATGGGTTAGCTAGGTGGACTATACCTCTCTCCTATGCCACTGGTGATCATAGTATAGCTTCTAAACAATTCTCTGCTACAAAGGAATTCAATCTGAACTGAATACTTCTTATGGATTATTAAAAGCCACGCACCATTACAACTATACTCAATTATCCCCCTTGCATGGAGACCAGAGGTGAGTTTCAGCAGGTTCTGACCAGTTCTGGAGAATCGGTAGCGGAAATTTTGAGTAGTTTGGAGAACCGGTAGTAAAAATTCTGACTGGCCCTGCCGTCATCTATTCTCTGCCTCCCGAGTCCCAGCTGATCAGGAGGAAATGGGATTTTGCAGTAACCTTCCCCTGGAGTGGGGAGGGAATGGAGATTTTACAGTAACCTTCCCCTGCCACACCCACAAAGCCACACCCACAGAACCGGTAGTAAAAAATTTTGAAATCCACCACTGGTGGAGACCACACATTCTTTTAAACCAGAAACAGGAAATGAAAAGGAATCCCTTAGCTTGGTTTAAGCCAAAACTTTATCCAAGACAGCAAACTGCAATTGTCCTGTACAAACTGAAATAACCATTTAGAGATCAATGTGTAACTCATGTATTTTGGCCACAAACCATTGCAGCATTGCCACAAAGCAATGCTTTGAGTTATGAGAAAACCGCAATTTTTAATTTCTAGATTTAGACAAAATCAAAAGCCTTTTTGAAATGCTGCTGACGGTAACTTTGGGAACCATACAAATAATTCAAACCCAGATCATTTTTCTAAATTACTGGAAAAATATATTGATATTGTAAAATACAATCACAATACAAACCCGCCACAGAAAAGCCAGCTTTCTCCTCATTTCACTAGAACATAAAGGGTAGAATTCAGACTGAATGCTCTCTTTTAGACTCACCTCAAGCCATAAAGAACAGTCCCGTCTGGGTGAAGTCGGATCATCCGGTTCTTGACTGTTACCCCATGCAGGAAGGACTTCTTGTCGTTTAGGAAATATGTGTCGGGGAGCCACAGCTGGTCAGCCACCCGATTATCCAGGGTGAGATTTAGAGCTAGATCACTATATGCTAGACGCTTATCTCGCCAACTTTGCTGGAAATACATGGTGATGGTATAGTCCTGTGAACACAAGTGGAGAAGCCATGGGCTAAATGTCAGAAGAATGGCCATCACACCTAGAATACTGTATCCAGTTTTGGTCACCACACTATAAAAAAGATTCTACAGAGAGTCTCTGGAGGCTAAAACATACAATGAACGGTTGCAGGAACTGGGCATGGCTAGTCTAACAATGTTCCAATATTTGAGGGGCTATCACAGAGAGGAGGGGAATCAACCTATTTTCCAAAGCACCTGAAGGCCAGACAAGGAATAATGGATGGAAACTGATCAAGGAGAGATTCAAGCTAGAAATAAGGAGACATTTTCTGACAGTTAGCACAATCAACCAATGGAAGAGCTTGCCTTCAGAGGTTGTGGGTGCTTCATCATTGGACGCTTTCAAGAAGAGACTGAACATCTGTCAGAAATGGTACAGGATCTCCTGCTTGAGCAGGGGGTTGGACTAGATGATCTATAACCGTGATGGCGAACCTATGGCACACGTGCCACAGGTGGCACACAGAGCCATATCGGTGGGCACACGAGCTCAGTTCCAGCATGCATGTGCGTGCCGACCAGCTGATTTTTGGGCTTTCTGGGCCACCCAGAAGTAGGGAAACAGGCTGTTTCCTGCCTCCTGGGGGCCTGGGTTGGTGGTGGGGAAGGCCGTTTTTGCCCCCCCGGCTCCTAGAGAGGCTCTGGAGCCTGGGGAGAGCAAAAGATGGGCCTTCCGGTCCCATCGGAAATCGGCAAATGGGCGGTTTCTGACCTCTGGAGGGCCTCCGGGGCGTGGGGAAGGCCATTTTTGGGGCACATAGAATTATGGGTGTGGGCACGTGCATGCGTGACCCCCTGCGCTTTCCCTGCTTTTGGCACACGATGGCAAAAAAGTTAGCCATCACTGATCTATAAGGTCCCTTCCAACACTGTTATTCTATTCTGTCTTTTCTAGGCAGCAGCACAGAGAATATCAGGGTATCTGATGGTAACTGAATTATCTGAGAAAGACATGGAACACAGAATAATAGGGTTAGGGTTAGGGTTAGGGTTAGGGTTAGGGTTAGGGTTAGGGTTAGGGTTAGGGTTAGAAGGGAACTTGGAGCTCTTCTAGTCCAACCCCTTGATTAAGCAGGAGATCTTATACCATTCTGGATAAATGGTTGTCTGGTCTCTGCTTGAAAACCTCCAGTGATGGAGTGCCCACAACTTCTGGAGATAAACTATCCCACTGATTGTCGGACTATCAGGAAAATTCTCCTTAATTCTTGGATGTCTCTTTGATGATTTACCACCTGTTACTTCTTGTCCTATCCTCAGGTGCTTTGAAGAATAGGTTGACCTCTTCTTCTCTTGACAGCCCCTCAAGTAACGGAAGACTGCTATCAGATCGTCTTTCTCTGTTTGTTAGACTAGACATATCTGCTTCTCTCATTTGTTTATCATATGGTTTAGCCTCCAGATCCCTGATCATCTTTGTTGGTCTTCTCTGTGCTCTTTCTAGGGCCTCATCAGTGTTTTTGTATCTTGGGGAACAGGACGGGATGCAGTATTCCAAATGTGATCTCACCGTTGCAGTATAAAGTGATACTGTCACTTCACAAGATCTTGAAACTATCCCTCTGTTGATACAACCTCAGACTACATTGGCTTTTTTGGTGGCTATAGCCAGGGCTGGGTTCTACTTACCTTTACTACTGGTTCGCAACGGGATCATGCGTGCGTGTGTGAGTGAAGCGAACGTGCACACTGTTAGATATTGACAAGGAAGTTTTCCTTCTGGTCCACTCTTTGGACAGGAAGAATGTTTAAATGTGATTGGCTGAGTTCCCAGACAGCCCTCTATATAAAGGCTGGCTGTTAGAGGGATTAGCTGCTGGATTGTAAATAGTTGCTGAATACAGAGCTGTTGTTTGAAGCCTGTCTCCAGTCTCTTCAATCCACCTATCTAACACTGGTGATGAAAGTCGGATACCGAAGAAATCATTGAGACCAGAAAAGAGCTGAGAACGAAACAATCCAGTCCGGCAGCAAATGCAAACGGCAGCCATCTTGCGTGCCAAATTTAAATGCTCAAAACAGCGGCAAGCATGTCTGTGTTCCACCCACTGGCTCTGTTCGATCCAGCAAAGGAGAAATGGGGCACTTACATGACAAGGTTCGAATGCTTCATGGAAGCAAACGACTTCCTTGGACTGTTGGACAACAGCAAAAGAGCACTGTTCCTGAGCCACTGCGGGCGCGATGTGTTCGACACCGCTGAAGCCTTGTACGAACCAACTCCGGTACAATCCATACCATGGCAAGTGCTACAAAATGCACTAAGGGAGGGGGATTGAGGGGGGAAGGGTGGGGGGATGAAAATGTTTGTACTTTCTATAAAACTTTTCAATAAAAAAAAATGCACTAAAAACACACTATCCTCCTGCCCCATCAAAGACGGTGAGACGCTACGAATTCTGGCACCGAATGCAGCAGGACGGAGAATCTATGAACCAATTTGTCGCTGCGCTACAAAAAGCCGCCACCCACTGCAAATTTAGAGACCTGGACAATATCTTAATCGACCAAATAATTTGGGGAGTAAAAGACCTCCGGCTGCAGTAAAGACAAATCTAATGTTGCAGGCTGCGTTGGACGAGGCAAGGGCAACTGAGTCGTCAAACAGGGCGGCCGAGTCACTCCAGAAGCTTGCTACAGCTCTGGCTGCAGCAAAACAGACTGCCACTATACATAAGAGCCATCACCAAGACAAAGAATCTGAAAGCAGCGAGGACGAGGTTTATCGGAGAGAAAAGAAGAAACACGCAGTGCCAGAAAATAGAAGGCAACTATGTGCCAGCTGTGGAGGGAAGTATTCTAGGGCTTCCTGTCATTACAAGGATGCCACATGTCGCCGATGCAACAAGAGGGGACATTTGGCAAAAGTCTGCCGAGTGAACTTGCCTGCTAGTTATCGTGCAGACACAGACATTCCAAAGACTGAGGGTGCAAGACCGTTTCAGCGGGAAACCTGGAAGCCTAGGTGTGAAGCTGCTAATGCAAGGCTGCCAGAAACAAACTGCCAGACTAGGATAACGCAGGCAAGCACCCCCTGCAGGAAGAAGCTTCACATCACTGTACAGATAGAAGGGTCGCCCTGCGACATGGAAATCGACACGGCTCATCGGTTACAATTATCTCCTGGCAAGCATTGAAGGCTGCTGTCCCAAGACTTCAAAAACACCAACTTGAACGACAACACTTGCGGCTCAGCGATTACCAGGGGGATCGGATCCCTGTCATCAGCTCCGGAACCTTCAAAGTCCAGTTCAATAAATTCCGGGGTGAGCTGACCTTAACAGTCATCAGAGGAAACCTTCCCAACCTGCTTGGGCTGGAGTGGTTCAAGTCCCTTGGCCTGGGGGTGACCGGCATCAATGCCATCGCCAACTCGTGGGCCGATGACCTGATCCGGGAATTCCAAGATGTGTTCAATCCAGAACTTGGCATGTATGTGGGCACACCAATATCATTCAGTCTAGACCCAAGGTGGCACCGATTAGGATGAAACCCCGGAGGGTTCCATTTGCCCTAAAACCCAAGATCAACAAAGAACTTGATAAACTGATCAGGCAGGGCATTCTTGAGCCAGTTCACCAGGCTAAGTGGGAGACTCCCATTGTCACCCCAGTTAAGAGTAATGGCTCTGTGCGCATCTGCGCTGATTATAAGTACACATTGAACAAGGCTCTACAGCAGAGCGCGTACCCAGTGCCCATAGTTTAGCACTTGTTGCATTCCTTGGGTTCCGGAAGGATTTTTGCAAAATTGGACCTCGCGCAGGCGTATCAGCAGCTGCCTGTAGATGGCGCTACTGCCAAGGCCCAAACCATTGTGACACACAGGGGGGCATTCAAATGTCACCGTTTACAATTTGGTGTAAGCATTGCCCCGGGTCTTTTCCAGAATGTAATGGAAAGACTATTGCAGAAAATTCCTGGGGTAGTGCCTTATTTCAATGGTGTCCTAGTTACTGCTAGTGATGAACAGCAACTACACTCCCATCTGAGGGAATGCTGTCAAAATTTAGAACCGCAGGACTCAGAGTAAAGGGCAGCGAATGCCAAAATTGGGGTCCCCGAGATTGAGTTCCTGGGATACAGGATAAATGGAAAAGGCATTCATCCTACCAAAAGCAAGGTCAGAGCAATTCAGGAAGCCCCAGTGCCACGAAATCAGACAGAATTGCAGGCTTTCCTGGGATTGCTCAATTTCTATAGTGTACTTTTGAAGAACAAGGCTACCGTTGCTGAACCACTCCACAAACTATTGGTGAAGAAAAGCATCTGGGTTTGGGGACATAAGGAGGCTGCCGCTTTTGCCGCTGTAAAACACCTATCTGCTGACAGTTTTCTAATTCAATAGAATGACACACTACCATTGGTACTAGTGTGTGACGCCTCTCCTTCTGGTGTAGGGGCTGTGCTGAGCGACCGTCTCCCAAATGGGACTGAAGCCCGGCCACCTATTTCTCCAGGACACTGTCAAGTGCAGAGAGGAACTATAGCCAGCCTCCCCAGGACAGGGAAGCGCTGGCTGCAGTGGCCGAGGTCAAGCGGTTTCATGAGTATTTGTTTGGGAGGGATTTTGAATTGGTAACGGACCACAAACCTCTGTTGGGACTCTTGGCGGGGGACCGCCCCACACCAGTGGCATTGTCGCCTTGTTTTACAAGATGGGCCATTTTCCTGTTGGCGTACTGCTACAAACTGATTCACTGGCCCGGAAAGACTTTGGAACATGCTGATGCCCTCAGCAGATGTCCTCTGCCAGACTTATTGGATGACCCGACCCCGGGCATCCCCATTCTCCTCATTGACTGCCTGAACTCTGGCCTCGTGACTTCTGCCACTGTGGCAAAACACTCAGCTAAAAATGCTACGTTCAAAAACATTTTGAACTGGGTTTGGAGGTGATGGCCAAAGGGCCCGTTTGGTACAGAGTATAAGCCGTTTGCAATACGACAACATGAGATTTTG